AAAAAAAAAAATTAAAAATCCCTGAAGCTGTAAGCATGCGCAGCTTTGCAGCCCTGCCAGCCCAAATATTTGCATTTCTCTGGTGCAGAGGGGGAGTTTGGGGAGCTGGAGTGTGTGTTTGGCTTTGGCACGGGCTGGGACGTGCCCTGTGTCCTTCACCTTCATCCCTTCACAGGGAATCACCCCCAGGGAAGTGCTAGAGATGCTTTCTCCATGGGGTTTGGGATTTTTTTTTTCCCTTGGAGATGTTTGGGATGGATACCATGAGGCAAACTCCCCCTTCCTCCACRCCTTCCTCATCCTCCTCCCTTGCCAGAGCTCACTCATGAGTTGTGAGGTCAATAATCACCCCCTCTGTGAGCACAATGGGCAAACCCTGTGCTAGCCACACGTGCCAGCTCTTTTTTGCMTCCCAAGAAAGTTATTTAACAAGGTTTTTTTTTTTTTATTTTAAACTATATTTTTTTAGTAATYTCCCCATATATATCCTGTGATAGGCATGAGAGGCCCTGATCCCGGTGTGGTGATGCACAGTCCTTGTGGGGTTGTGCCCCAAATCCYTGTGGAACACAAATTTCTGCACTGCCAGTGGCAGCTGGTTTAATGCAAGATTGCCTTGCAATACCCTTAGAAATATTTTTTTTTCCCTCATGGACACATTCCAATGCACAGAAGAGTCTGCTATGGGCTGGCTCCAGACAACACAAAAAATGCTTTAGATACAGCAACTTAGATTTCCTCAATGAAACCACAARTTGGTTATATTTAGGTCAAGAGATTGGTCAGGAAATTAAACTCATCCTTTTTCTTTTTTTTCTTTTATATAGTACATCCCAACCACATCAAAACTTACCATTTTAATCCTCATGTGAGTGTTAAACCCCATTCCTCCACATTTCCTCTGTAAGGGGAAACCATCGTGATAACAGTTGTGAGTTGGTTGAGTCTGAGAGAACTAAAATTGTGTAAAAMGGTGATAGGACAAGGACAAACCTGGAGCATTTCCTGCAGCTGAGTTTTACCTGGATTTACATCCAATCCCCAGTTCTGTCCCCAACAGTTTTCCTGCATGATGTCTTTAAAATGCTTCTCTCTCTTTACAAGATCCGTCAGCAGATGGATGCCTGTAAATACACGGGCCTGGCTCCTGGCATGGATTTTGGGTTGGGGAAGCTATTTAAATTATTAATATGGAAATTTTACCTCCCCTCCCTGCCCCTCTGCCCCTCACCAAGCCCTGAGAATATTCGTGGTCCCATGGATGGGATGTGCAAGGATCTCCAGAGGGAAATTCCAGCTGCCGACCCCAGCCCGAGGAAGGGCACCGTGCAAAAAGGAAACTYGAAGGATTTGCTGCTTTTATCTCTTTTCATCTCTGAGTTTATTAAAGTGCAAATGTCAACCATGGAGACAGCTATCACATGCAGTGCAGTACACCGAGAAACACTTTCCACACCATAAATGGAAGGAAAAAGGCTTCGTTGTGATTATCTAATGCACAAAGGACAAAACTGAACCAGGGCTCTGTGCCCTCCCAYAACAGAAAGTACTAAAGCCATGATTTGGAAAACAAAACCCTCTCCAGGCCTTCAGCTGACAAAATAGAAAACATCAAGAAGGAYGGAGTATTTATAGAGCTCAGGTTTTTGGTTTTTTTCTTTGTTTTTTTTTTCCCTGAGCTTCATATTAATGATATGTTTGAAGGGATGCTTCTACTCAGAAATTTTAAAGTTCAGTATTTCAACAACAAAAAAAAGAATCCCCCCCAAAAAAAATTAATACATAACATTATAAATCATAAATACTCCTTAAGAGTATGAATTTAAAAATTGCAGTGGACAAGTCCAGTTCACCTCTCTCAGAGAGTTGTTCACCCAAAGATGCTGGGCCACRGACACCACAGATATCCTGGGATTCAGTTTTGCTTTGTGCTCTAAGAGAAAAAAAACAAAACAAATGCATTGAGGTACAAACCACGTGAATATAACATGATACAGAACACATGAACATGCTTTCAGCAACAAGAATAAATATTACCATGGCTACAGGACCTACTTCACAGCTTTGTGAGATGAGGATAAATAAACTACTTCCAAACTTGAAAAAAAAAAAAAAATAAAATAACCAGAGATGAGTCTTACAAATAAACTTTGATTTTTAAATTAAGGCAGCTTCAGCAGGAACTTCAAGGCTTTTGTTAAAAACAGACTTTTCATAACACCAAAAGTGTACTCGTGCTTGCAGGTAGAGCTCTGATTTACAGTCCAGTTCTCCTAATTTCGAGGATAAAAATGAGCAAAGATCTGTGCATCGAATACCAGGTGTGCTCTCTGCAAAAGTCAGTGTTCCATCAGTGGGTGTAAAGTGGGAACTCTGAAACCCAGTTCATCTGTCAGGCCTGGGAGTGAGGTACCTCTGAATCGTTAACTCCACGGCCAGGAGGCAGACTGGAAATTCAGAATTACAAGAAGCTGTTGCTTTTTTTTTYYTTTTYTTAAATAAATGAAYGATGAAAAAGGGATATAGAAAGGGAGGGCTGAGGAAGCCAAAGGAAAGCACTAAATGAAAAGCCCATACCAAAGTAAGACCTTAAGAAAGGTGACTCTAGTAAGGTACATCATACACCTGGAACAAAACCAGATCCTAAAACCTTCCAGGAAAAAAAAAACAGCGGGAGCTCGAGCTGCGGTCGGTTTGGCTCATCCAGATGTGCGATTCTTCTTCCCTCTCTCCTCTCAGCTAATAAAAGGGCGAAGCCAAATAATTGCACAACAAATGGTACTTCAAGTATTCAGAAACACGKCCTGCATGTCTCAGCGGGGGGATTCTGTGGGAGCAGGGAAATTGTGCACCTCGTGAAACGGAGCTGCCGCTTCCAGCGCTCCCAAACGCRCAGCGAAGGCACAAAGGGGCCGTGCCCTGCACACCGACCCCTCTTCCTCCCACGGGGCTGTGTGCTGACAGTGGAGAGCAGTGAAATGAAAAGGAGTGGGCAGGAGGGTTGTTTTGTTCAGAACTCATCTATCCCGACACCGACGCCACCATAACCACACCAGGAACGCGCACACCACATGCACTGACCGGCCAACTCGCCCTGGAATTGTGCACGCCTCACAAAATGCCAAACTGGAAYACACACAGCTCAAGGTGCATTTCTGACCTGTCAAGGGGAAAAAAAAAACCATCCTGCTGCCTTCACCTGCTCAGCTGTAACTCCTGGAAATAAACCTGGCCATGGTGGAAGGGCAGGATTGCCACAGTTGCTGATGCCACTTGTCCTCCCATCCCTGGGCAAGGCCATGCGGAGCTTGATGGGGTCAGCCAAGCCACTCAGGGGCTTTGCCTAAAAGAGGGATTAGAAAAAAAATCATCCCCTTTTTGCAGGTCCTCTCAGAGGCTGGGATTAGGGTGTGTGTGGCAGTGCCCAGGGGACACAGCTGCTCTGCTGGGAGAATAAAGCTGAGGCCAGTGATGCCATCTACATTTTCTATATATGCATGTATGCATATATAATAAATACATTTATAGAGCTTCCACCAAGAGCAGCACAAGGTATTTCTGAATTAACTCATCCAGGAGCCAGAGGTTTCTGTCGGAGCTTATCTGAACTCTTCATCCTTTTCATTTTGTCTCCCTCCTCCACGGGCTGAAGCAAAGTTTTGGGTGAGTTTGTGGCTTGYAAAGCACAGCTGTCCAGTGGCTTCTAAAGAATTGCACTTGGAGTAATTCAAGTTTCTGCAGTTCAAATATTGTCTACCCTGCTTTTCCCGACGCTTGTGCAYGTACCAGCGTAACTCAAAAAGAGCCGACCACAGTGTAACAGTGTGTGAAAGTTAAACTTCTCCTCTGGAAAATGTAACTGCAGGTCAGCAGCTCCTCTGCAGCTGGGAAACAGAACACAGCCTGCTTGAAGGTAAAAAAAAAAATAACAAAAAGAAGTGAGAAGTCCTCAGAGTATTTCAAAGTGCAGCACGGWTTTGGGTGAGGCTGTGATGGACAATCCAATCCGGTGTGGTCACTGAGGAGGTGCTTCCATCAGTCCTGCTCCCTCCACTGCCTCTGCTGACCCTGAGCAGGGAAATTCCTTCATCTCTTTGTACCTCTCCATATGGAAAATGAAGTAATTCTTGCTGCCTCCCAGGCAGGACTGGTTCTGCAGATCCACATCACACGGGTCTGAGAAGATGCCAAGTGCCACAAGGGGCTAATTCTACAACAGAGAAATCTCAGCCACCTCCAGGAAGCAAATATTTCCTCCCCAGGGTGTTTGCTGCTGCTTAACACCATTAGTTCTGCTGGGTAGGAAATCCCAGAGGACAAGAGTCAATTCAAAACAGGACATCAACACATCTACCTGCCCCTGACCCTCAGATTCCAGCACACCAGCCCCTGATCGAGGAGGCTACAGGTGCCTCCAGGATTTGGCAAGATGCTCAGCTGGGAGTGAAGATTTCAAAAGCCTTCAACATTTCAAACACATTTCACTCGTTGCTGTTTCCTGGATGGAAATTAATGCCTGTCCCTACAGCTGCTCCTGCTCCTTCCCAAAGKGGTTTATCTCCTTCACCCAAAACTGTTCAGGGCTCTTTGCTTGTGTCTCAGCCTTGATCCAAAAGCTGCTGAAGGGTTGGGTGCTGCTCACTTTGACTCTGGGGTGGGGTTTGGGGTTCTTTTTGCATGCAGGAGTTTGGCTTCTCYCTCCTTGCCAGGGATGTGCTGCTCMCACCACAGCACTGGGGACACGAATCGCCCGGCAGCCACAGCACCAAAGCCATCCCCCACCCCAGAATAGTTATTKAATAATCCTAATAGAATAAAAGGCTCATTACAAAACCTAGGAGCACTACAAATATTTCCAGTATTTCTTCTAAAAACAGAACTGTTCTGCTGTGGGTTTACAGTCCAACCACTGCTGTGTTGGATTTAGTGTTCAAAAGCTTAATAGCAAAACTAATTTTTTTTCTTTTTTTTTTTTTTGGGGAAGCTTTCTACTTTGTGCGGCTTCTGGAAAAATTTGAGCTGTAAAGTCACATTAGTGAGGATCCAAGCACAATCTGTAACAAAAGTAAGGCAATTCTGTGGTTTTCTTTTTTAAAAAAAAGGGACTTCAAGCTGAAAATGTCCATTTAACTGCCAGTAGATGGCAAAAATATCCCGTGTTTGTCTTGATTACCTTAAATGATTAGTAAAAAAAGGCTTACTGTGTTGTTCTCTTCCTTGCTTCTCATAGAAACTTGCAGTAAGTATAAATTAAAGTGCAACTGTACAAAAAAAACACCAGCAAAAAACCTCAGTGAGTCATCAGAAGCTATCAAAAAGACTGATTAAATTTTTTTTCAAGTTGAATGTCTGCATACCTGGGACCAGCAAAAGTTTTTTTGCTCTGTTTCTTAAAACACAATGCAAAAGGAAAAAAAAAAAAACTAAACCAAACCCCCCACCCAGGATTTTTTGGCAAAGTTTTCATAAAGCATTTTTTCCTTGATCAGACTATTACTTCATAATCAAGTAAATGGAATTAAATACCATGTCAAAGCCAAGCAGATGCCGACGCTGCCCATTAGATTAATCCTGTGTAATAAAAAATAATAACTCTTTTAAACAAAGAAATCACACATGCATTAGGGTTTACCCCTGGGTAACAAGAATTTAACCTTAAAAATCCCCACAGTTTGTCTTAAAAAATGAAACCCCATCCTTCAGACAGCCAGTAGTAAAGGAAGAGTAAAATTCCGTGTTGGGATACCCCTGCCTGATCGGCGGCGTGGCGAAGGTCACGGGCAGCAGCAGGACGGGAGAGCCCTTGGGCATGGAAAATGAGTCTCCAGCAGCAGGGAAGGCAGATTTGGCAGTGATTTGAGGGAGCTGACAACAGGCAGAGCTTCCTGGGAAAGGTGAGAGCTGAGTGCTCTGGAGCTGTGTGGTGCTGCCGGACAGGGCTGATCCCAACGCTGTTCACATTTCCAGGTGGGTGATCCCAAACCTGCCCTCTGCTCGCCCAAAACCAGCTTGGGATTCAGCCCCTGGTGAGGAGAGGCAGAGAGAACCAGCAGGTAGGAGGGAGGTGATGGTGAAGGTTGGGAAAAGGCGATCTGCCTTCAGCTCCGAACGTRGGGAGCGGGTCAGTGCTGTCCGGAGCTCTCGGGAGGAAATAAAGCACCTTAGGGACGCTCCTCTGCAAACCTCCCCATGGCAGGTTTGCCACAGGACCTCTGCACATCTCACTTTCCCTCCCCATCTTTAGCAGAGGGAAAAAGACAGGGGAGGGAGGCCGTATTGCACTAGTGCAGAAGCATCTAAGCAGCTGCTGTTTTGGGGAGAAAAGTGTTAAGAGAGGCCGATTAGCCGGGTGTGAACACTGCAGAGTTGCTTCATGGCCCCTCCACTCCATTTCATAGAGCTCCTGGTCAACACCTCTGCCCTGGCCCAGCCCATCGTGCCCCTGCTCTGCACAGCAATGGGGAGACATCAACCCTCCTGTAGGAACCTTGGCTGTGCCTCCCTTAACTCAGGATGAACCAGGGGGGAGGTGTTTCCCAAAAACTCAGTGATACCTTTGTTACTTTACAGCCTCCACATTGCCCACGGTGTTCACTAGGTYAAAAAAAAAAAAGGATACTGGATAAATTTCACCAGGCACCAGGAGAGAAATGAAGTTAACTTCCTCYGTGCCTTGTCAGAGGGGAGCAGGTTTTGGATTTGGACTTGGCTCCGTGGAGTGRCCRGGGGAGGAGGAGGAGGAGGAGAAGAACGAGGATGTGAAAGAAACCAGGGGCGGGTGAGTCAGCGCAGATCCTGGCGGTGCCATCAGCGGGCCAGGGCCATGATGAGGCTGGCACACATCTCRAAGAAGTCCATGGTGTGGCTGCCCAGGCGTGGGGGCACCGAGGGGATGCTGCCCACGAAGGAGCCGCTCAGGGAGCCCATCAGTGCCTGGCACTCGGTGGCCGCGGCCGCGTCGATGCTCAGGCGTGGCCGGTGCAAACCCGCGGCCGAGCAGGAGCGCTGGGGCGTGGAGGAGCCAGACCTCTGCTCCATCACCTCATCTTGGAAAGCAAAAAAAAAAAAAAGTGGGAGAAAGAAGAAAAAGTAGGATCAGTTTGGCAGCTGCAATGCAGGCGTGGTAAGGAAATGGTAACAGTAATGCAGACGAATGGCTCAAGAGGGCTTTTGCCAACTTCACTCAGCCACGTAAGCGCTTCAAAACACAGAGAATGGGTTTTAAACTTCCAGCCTTGCCCTTCTTTGTGTTCCCCATCTCCTACTCACCATCAATGCTCTTGAAGTCCAGCAGGTAGCTGCGGTTGTCCACCTGGTAGAGCTGCAGGCTCATCTTCACGTAGTTGCCSGTGACGGGGTTCTTGCGGCGCACCCGCAGGTGGTAGGCATTCACCACCTGCAAYGGGAAATGTGCCCTCATTATGGGCATTCCAGGCAGCAAGGGGAACACTTCACACCTTATTTTTTCCAAATATAAGCAAGACATCGTCTGGGGACAACAGTTTCTCAAAAGGATAATGCCTGTAAAATCAATCAAATGGCTTCACTTCCTCCTATCTTTAAATATTCTTCTTCAGGCTCTGATTCACCAGCTGCTGGAGGAGGAACTGCAGTGACCCATCTGCCAGGCACAAAAGTGATGTTTGCTCCTCCTTCACCAGCCACATGAACCAAAAAATCCACTTGTGGACCCACACACGAGGACAGTGTCCATAAATCAGGACAAGTTGGGCAGAGCAACCTCTCCCATCAGCACAGCTAAACTCAGCATTCATGGATCAGCCTCAAGCTGTGCATTTCCCCTTGCTGCTTCCCACCTYACAATCTGCTGCACCTCATTTGCAATGAGATCTTTTCTCTGCACTATATTTATGAAGCAACTGCGTGGATGGCAGAGTTTCTGTGATGAAGAGTCACATCTGAAGTTATTCTTAGGGTGGGAAAGGCTATTGTGAAACCTCCCCGTATGAAATAAGCTCCGCTGCCTACACAAAGACATTGGGCTGAGTTGGTTTGTGAGGCTGTACCAGAAATACAGCAGGTTTATTCTCTCTCTGTAAAACCAAGCAGCCAACAAATGTCTGGCTGGTGTAAGCAAATGCACCTGGCCATGGTCCATCTCCTGCCTGGTGCAGGGAAATCGGGTTTCTGGGAGTTACATGGCTTTAACGATGTAATATTATCAAAAATAAGGAGAGTCAGGAGGTTTTTAAAGAAGCAGCACTGTGAAATTCACACAGTACAACACTTGGGACCTGGAGGGAGGAGGGGAACTCCTCTGCTRATGAAGATCTGGGCTGAAATTCTCCTTACCTTGCTGCTGTTGCTCGCAGGATGCTGCTGCCAAAGGCCACAAGCCAGGAGAGCTCACCTCAGGGGCTGCACCGGGATTTGGGGAGTCAGGCACAGCGGCAGAGATCCGGGACTAACTTAGGGATTTATTACCCCAACTTTGAAAAAGACTGTGACTAGATGTTGCACAGCCCTGGAGAAACACCTGCAGTGAGTACTGTCAACTAAMACATCTGGGTTTACAAATCAAGAAGCTGAACCCTAAACTGAGGCAGCAATAACTGTCTGAAAACACATCTGGTCCAYGAGCACTGCTGCACCTCCATCAAGGAAAAGACCACCAGTGATACAAATCCTGCAGTCGAAGGCCCCCTGCCCCTCATCCCTGCATCCTTTAGGAAGATGCACACTCTGCCATTTCAGCATTTCAGCCCTGACAGGACCAGGCAGAAATAATGAGAGTTCCCCTGCTCAGGAGCACTCACGATGACCTCAAAGGAATTAGCCACTAAAATTAGAAATGTGAACAGCTCCTCTTATCCCTGCAGCTAAACGAGGCAGAACCATCTTTGCAGCCAAAGGCTCTGAGCACTCAGAAGGCAAATCCTTATTTCACAGCATAAATAAACACCACTGACACCAAAGCACTGCGAGTTTGCATTAACGAGGAATTCAGTGAGTTTGCATTAATGAGGAATAGCAGAGGGGATCACAAGATGGGGACATTTATCTGGAAACAGGTGAGGCTGTGACCACACTTACAAACCTCCCTGAGGTTTTTTTTTTTTACAAACCTCCCTGAGTTTATGGGAAAATGGTGCTGGAAGCCCACCCCAGAGCAGCAGCACTCCCTACCTTCCACTCAAAGTCCAGCTGCTTCATCGCCCGGTACACCTCGGCCATAATATCATAGGGTTTGCTCTGGCTGCGGATCCCCAGGTGCCAYTTGGCCTTTTTGACCGTCAGGGGCTTTGGCTTGGTGGTGTTGAGGGCGTCCAGAGGGCAGCGAGCTTTGGGGCTGTCGGCGATGAGCGGCGGCATCCGCTCGGGGTGCGGCTTGACGCCCGGCGGGATGTGCAGGGCGCTGTCGTCCATGAAGGAGCCGGTGGGAGGGCTGGAGGCCAGGTAGAACTCGCTGGCCTGGTTCATGATGCGGCGGTTGTCGATGACCAGGTGGTAAGCCACGGCCAGCTGGTCCTGGGGGTCGCCGCTGTACAGGCTGTTCATCACCTCCGACTCGGTGCACTCGAATTTCTCGCACACCTCGCGCACCGCGTCGTCGTCGATCACCGTGGCGTCGTAGGAAGGGTCCTCGGGGAACAGGTAACTGGGCAGCTCCTCCTTGAACCACTCGTGCTCCCTGGGGAGGGCAGGGGGGAGGAATTGTGAGCTCTGTGCTGGGCAAGGTGGGGAAACCACGGCCAGACAAGGCTAAACCCCGGCTGATGAACTGGGAGCAAAACCGAGCCTGGACTGGGACAACCCTGACACATTGGGCTTGGAACTACAACCTCAAAACTTCCATGGGATTCCCATGGGCCTGATGGAGATTCAGACCATCAAAGCTATCCAATTCTCAATGAAATCAATGATAATTGTCCAAAAGCCATGCACTGCTTTGTCTATAGTTTCTGTGTACCGACTGTAATCTTGCTACACGTGCTGGTGCTCCAAAGTGTAATTAAATCCTCTAATCTGAAGGAGTTAAGAAATAAGAAAGGGAGTTTGCATGGGTTTACTTGTAGGGTAAAATTAAGGCAGGCCATTAAAAATGCTTTAAAAACCTGAGAATTCCTGGAAGTCCTAGTAACATTTAAAGTTTCCTTTGATGATATCTGCAGACAGAAATGTCTGCTTAAGAGCCCAATTTTTCACTTTACCTGGAATTTCTACAGCAAAGCATTCAAATAAAAGATTCATAGGCACCGCACTCACTGACTACACAGGAAAACTGTGCTGCCTTTAAAATTGAGCCATTTGCTTACATTTTAAAGTATATCAAATATTTACAGATAATTCTTGGGTTTCTCCTCCTTTTCTACTGGATACACAGCAAGTACAATGATTACCCTCTTTTGCTGGTACTCAGAGGGAGGTGGTCTTGAAATAAAGTGATGAAAAGTGTCTGGTGGATATGAAGTTCTTAGGATTATTGCATGCTATAGCTGGTTTTGCTAAGTGCAATTGGGAGATTTTCAAAGGTAATTTCAAAATGCAGTGAAGTAGAATTTTAAATATAGGTACATAATATATACATAAAATCCTCATCCTATTCATCATCACCCACTTCCAGCCAGCAGCACCCACCTCTCAGAAGGGTGCAGGGCTGCTCATTAAATCATTTGGGACAAAAAACATCTGGATTAGCTGAYTACTCTCAAAAACCACCCTGCCCACCTGCCAGCAGGTGACCCCCAGCACAGTCACCAGGACACTGAAGACCCCCAAAGGCAGCCAGCCCACCCCAGCCCACCCCAGCTGACCTGATGTCCTTGATGGTGGCTCGCTTGAGGGGGTCCACCTGCAGCATGTGCATGAGGAGCGTGGCCACGGAGCGGTTGAGGTATTCAGGGATGTAAAATACTCCCCCCCGGATCTTCTTGAACAAGGTGGGGACGTGCTCGTCATCAAAAGGCAGGGTGCCACACAGGAGGGCGTAGAGGATGACACCACAGCTCCAGATGTCCACCTCTGGGCCAGCATAGAGCCTGCAAAGGGCAGGAGAAATGTGAAACTCCCATTCTCTTCTTGGTCAGGGTGCAGGTTCTGTGTCACCCCCTCCTCTCCTCAGGGTGCAGGTGGGAGTATCAACTCCCAGCTCCACCAGGGGCAAAGCTCAGCCCAACCTGGGGCTGCTCGTGTGATTCTCTCCAAATCAAAGCTGCCTCAGCCAAAACTGCTCGGGGAAACCAATGGCAGAGCTGGCACTGGCTGCCCACACTCCTGGGTACACCCCTGCCTCACTAAACTCTCCAAAAAGCCAAACCCCACATTTCCAAGAGCTCTGCTGGGCTGTTTGTTCCTTTGCCTTGAAGGCTCAGCCAGAAATTTCTGTTCACTGAATGAGGCAGATTGAACAGCAGCAGCCATTCATCTCTGAGTGTTTATTTTTGGTGGAAGTTTGTGTGCTGGTATSTCAGTGCTCCCTGCCACCACCAGCTCAGGACATCCCAAATATGCAGTTGTGCTGCTCCTTGCTCAGTTTGCTTATCTCCTTTTGCTACAACTGATGCTTGAGGCRACAATTACCCTTGGGCTGTGAGGCCCTACCAAAATACAGAGGTTGAAATGCAAATGCAGAAGTCTCTTAATGAAATTTTGGCATCCTGCTCTTGCCCCTCCTGAAAAGCATCACTGCAGACACAGCAGTGTAGAAACCACACTGCTCATGCACGTGGCCATTCTCTGAACACCCCAAAACACTGGGTCTGCTTGTCCAAGGGTGAGACTTGCCCTGCCAAGGCCAGGGACAGCAGTAAAGTCACTCTGGAAAGGCAGAGATCAGCTGGATGGCAGCTCAGTCCTGCCTCCATGCCCAGTTCCCACAGATCAGAATGCCCTGATTCTTTTGCTGATAACTGCACTGCCTGAACAGTATTTTGGGCTTTTAGGCTCTAATAAGATGCCTTTTTATGGCTCTGAAACCTGAGCTGTCACACTCCACTGCTTTTGTGCTCCAGCAGGAAAAGCAGCAGGAGCCAGGAGTCAGCTCCCCCTGCCCCACACACCCACCAGCAAGGCAGGGAGAGGGTGGATTGTGCCTAACCCCCCAAAATGCAGCTCTCTACAGCTCTGAGAAGAGGCCAGCTGGGCACACTGAGCAGGGGCACAAAACTCRGGCAGCCCTGAGACCGTGGGTGAGAGTGCTGAGGGAGGGATGCAGCTGCAGCCACTGAAAATCTACAACATGTGGGGCTTGGATTTGGTTTTTCTCCTCACTTTTGTTGTTACTAAGCTGCATTGCCTGTACCCTTGGAACACTCAGGGACTAAATCCTTCTTGCTGATCTGCCATGAGCCTTGTCTCCTGCAMAAACTGAGAAACATGTGTCTGGCCTTTACTGAAATGGAAATTGTGTTAGTATTTTTTTTTGGAATCCCAGAAGTTTCTGGCTTTTCCCCRTTCTTGACAATGAGGATTTACTTGATTTCACACACAGAGCTGTAGCCACAACAGGGTTTTTGGATGCTAGTCTAATTCCTGGGATGCTCTGCCAACACTTGCTCTGGTGTAAACAGGGATAAAATAATCATAATCACAGCAAAAGCATTCTGAACAAAATGTTCTATTTAAAAGCTACAGCTATAGGCAAAAAGACATTGGATTAGGAAAAGTAAAGCTCATGGCAAAGGGAGAYTCAAAGAAAAAGGGGCAGATAATGAGATGCAGAGTTTGAAGTGCCACACAGAGGACTGAAAATTTGAAAATCTGTATTYGCAATCCTTGCTAAACTATTCCAGAGAGATTAGGGAAATATGTACATTCTTTGTAATTTCTGTTCCTGACAGCAAAATATACGAGGTAACACTTCTGTATCGACAAGTAAAAGTCCAATTCAGCCTTGTGGAGTGTGTCCAACCCTCCATGTGCTGTACAGATGTTTCATGGTGAGAGATGCAACCACCGAGGAGGTTTATCAATTCAATTATTCAGTTCATAACAAAGCTCTGAAGGTTGAAYCTACTACCACAACCAAAATCCCTTGCTTAAGGAACCAGAAAACAAATATTTTCAGTACAGGTGTTGGGAAGTGATTAAAGATCTTCCTGGTTAATTTGTTTGTGAATGGTTTTCCTCATTAACACTGTTTCATATAAAAGGTGGGCAGGAGAGGAGGAGGTGGCCTGGAAAATCCTTTCCACCTGGAACCTCAGTATTTGCATCCAAAGAGTCATTTTCACCCTCTTTAATTAGCAATATAAACAGTCAGCATCTGGTATTAATAATTCCTCCAAAGTAAACACCTGTAGCAAAACCTGGTTTGCTGTCACAGCTATTGAGAAGTAAAATAACCGAGAAAACCTTCAGATCTCTGCCAACAGATTCACCCAAACATAAAATCCAGGTTGGAAGGATTCAGCTGCTTTCACTAGATGTGCAAAGCTGTTTCCAATACCAAGAACAAATTTAAAATCCATGTGCTCACACAGACTGTGATTAGAAATGGCACATCTTACCTTCCAGAGATGACTTCAGGGGCTGCATAATTCGGGGAGCCGCAGCTGGTGCGTAGGAATTCACCATCGGACATCATATTGGACAGCCCTAAAAACAAAATGTTTATTACATCCTGATGTTTGATCTGAAGGTCCAGCCATGGAGGAATCTGTGAGAAGTGGGTATTTGGAGGGAACTGCTGATATAATTTAGATAGACTCCTTTGAGCTGATTTGAAAATTATTATTGTTTTCGTTATTATTGTTATTATTGGTTTGGGGTTTATTTTTTATCCACACCCAAGAAATACTCACTCCAGGCTAATTTTACTTCTYTAAGCCGCAAATCCCAGAGCATAATTCATCCCAGAGCACTCACTTCATATGGGAATTGGGTGGGGCCGTGAAATGAGTAAATCTTCAGAAGGATTTACATTGCTAGAAAGGACTCACCAGGACAGAGCTGGTAGCTGGGGTATTTTAATGGATTTCAATCTGTAATGCCACTTAAAGACTCCTGCTACTGCTGGTTGGTGAAATGAATTGAGGCCAAGAGCACACGGCCAAACGGAGAGAGAACATGCAGGAAAATAAACACAGCTCACCCAGAACTAGCTGCACCGAGCCTGCCTCTAACATAAATTAGGTAAACTTCATGGTGGGTGATTGCACTAAAATACAGCAGAGATTTACAAATTACTCCATTCTCAGTGCAGCCTGCAATGGGCAATCCCTGCTCAGTGTTTAAAGTGTGGGATTTAAGGTGGTTGTGGCAGAGGGCTCTGGGTTTTTGTACGGCTGCTCCACCCTCGGCCACGCTCCAGCAGCGCTGGCTGCACCTCTGGAATGCTGCTCCTTGTGGGGTCACATACCAAAATCAGCTATCTTTGCATTCATGTGGGCATCCAGCAGCACGTTCTCTGGCTTCAGGTCCCTGTGCACCACCATGTGCCTGTGGCAGTAATCCACAGCAGAGAGGATCTGCTGGAAAAGGCGCCGAGCTTCAGCCTCCTCCACCTGTGGGGACAGCAGAGGGAACAGCCCTGGGGTTTGGCTCAGCAAGGAGCCAAAAGCTTCCAGGGTGCAGAGAGAAAATCCCAGCGTGCCCGAGACCAGCAGCAGCAAATGAAGCAGATTTCTCACCCTTGAGTTTTACAGTGTGCCAGGGTTTGTAAATGATACAGCACAGAGACCTCAATTTACCTCAGCTGCCAACAAGAACATAAAGGTGGCACCTATCAAACCACAGCCTCCTGTGCCAGTGGACAAAACACCACAGAGAGTGTTGATGGGAGCAATTCCCCACGAACTTCCTCTGGAAACAACAGGTGAATACTGTGCTGATTTTAATTACCTGTATAGCTAGAAAGCTGCATGAGCTATATTAGAGAAACTGTATTTCAAATTGTTATTTTTAGTGATGAATTCCAWAAGATTCCCTTCACGAAAAGCTGAGTTTATGAATGCAGAAGTTAAGAAAGGATCCAAATGAGTCACTGAAAGGATCTAGATGGGTAAAATGTGTGAGAAATCAGAACTGTACACAGAAAATTGAGTCAGCTCCATCGACCATGGCACTAATCTAACCCAATTTACTGTAAATGTATTGATTTTGTAGCCCATAAAAAGAGAGGAAATGTGATGGGCTGATCCCTCACCTGAACCCTTATTCTGGATGTCCACTTTGGCCCATTTTTCTCTCCTTGCCCTGCAGCTGCTCCTGGGGCAGACACTGGCAATTCTCTTTGTAACCAAAATCTCACATTTCATGGGCTCAACCCACACCTCAAGTGATTTATACCCACTGGGACTGCTGGCATCTGAAAATGTTGTTCAGATAAGCCACATCCTTGAAAAGTCTTCAAAGAACCTGACATGGAGCCAAGGGGGATCTGGGAGAGGTGAATGACTGGGGCAAAGACCACACCAAGAGATCTTCCCCTCCCATGCCATAAATTTGCTGCTGAACCGTGGGGGTTTTGACAGGCAACCCACAGCTAAAAATCACAAAAACAAGCCAGCATTCCAAAAACTTGCCCTAAGCAACACGTTCCCTTGGGTATTTTGGCTTGAGGGTCAAAAATACACCAGAGAAYGCTGCGAAAAATCACACCCAAGTTTCGTGTGAGCCACTACAAGACACCCCAGATGGGGCTGCTGTGAAGCAACTTCTATTTTGGGCCTTAACCTTAACTGTGCTCCCTTGAGCATAAGTTTTGCTCCTGAACATCATCCTCTTCCCACACAAGTGTTTGGGCTGGCTCAGGACTGGCACTTACACGTCCGTGCTTGCAGATGTAATCAAACAATTCCCCGCCGGACACGTACTCCATGACCATGAAGAAGTCTGTTGGTGTGCTGATGACCTGGTACCTTCAWAAACACAAGCAGATTTAGAAAAAATGTGTGATTAAGGACAGGGAAAGGCTTCTAAACAGATTATTAATTCCACATCAATGTTTCAAATAAGATTTTGTTTGCATCTTGCGTTTACAGTTGCTTTCCACTTCTGAAAAGCCACCTCTTGTTTCCAGTATAATCTTCCACTTATCTGTGAAAGGACCTCTTTTCCAGACCTCTGATTCGCCTTCAACCTTTTAAATAACCCTCTGAAATATCTGCCAGGCAATCTTATCACATTTAGGACTGCCCTGACTTTCAAATTTCCCCTTTGGGCAAGATCTGCAACAACAGCTTTAATAATGAATGCTTGGTTAGCTGGGGGCAAGGAGAGGATACATCTGGTTTCCCTCATATCAAGAAAAAAGAAGATAAAGAACTCCAGGCACTAGGGAGAGCTTCTTCTGGACAGGTACAGAAACAAAGATGAGCCCAACCCCAAAGTTATTTTTCAAATATTAAATCCTTCTATATTCTAGAATGGGTAGAAAAAACACAGAGTATCACCTTCAACTTGCAAATTTATTCTCCATTTTCCTTTAAAATGATCCCTGGGTGCTGTAAAGGCATTTCAGTGTCCCAGCTGGAATAAACTGCCAGTGATCAGCTGAGGTCAATGCAGCCCCAGGAATTCAGAGCAGCACCAGCTGGGACCTCCCTCTCTTTTATTTCACATTCATTGTTTTGTTGTTGTTTACTTCTTTTTTTTTATGAATTTCTTCATTTTTTTACAGCTGGGCTGTAATTTGAAACAAAGAGATTTCAGCAATTTTCAGAGTTTGGCAAAGGCACATGGGATAGTCTCATAAAGAYCAATAGCATGAACCTCGTTTTTCTGCAGACATTTGGACACAGGCATCCAAGTTCCTGTTAACTGCCCCAATATTTCTTTTATATACATTTAGAAACTTACTGAAAGACGTTTGTGTGCCCCAGTCTCCTTCTCACATCTTTATCACTGTTTTTCACAAATGCAACATGTACCACAGGACACTGATATTGTCAAACCAGATTTAATTTCCATTGCTTTGACAAATGTGTGAACAGGATTGGACTTGCAGGACTCTGGGTACACAGCTGAGGAGTCTTTCTGGCTTTTTTTTTTTTTCCCCCCATGAAATAATACCAATCTGTTCTCCAATAAATCCACAGAACTGTGAAGTTACTCTAAAGTCAACAGTTGCTGCATGGTTAGTTATTTAACTGTAGAGAGAATTTGTTTTCCCTTGCCTCTAAGTCCCAGGTATTTGCTATATCTYGTGCCAGTTTTAAGGCTGACCTAAATGTCAACTTAGCCTTGCAGTTSCCATTCAGCAGCTTTCTTTTATAGAAATGCCAAAGATATTATCGAGTGCCTCGTTAATGTGGACTGGCTGCACAAACTGGGGATTGAGCAGGAGCCCCAGAGGCTGCAGTGCAGGTGCTGATTTACGACTCAAACTCAGGTTCATCAAAGCAGTGACTTCCAAAACTTGTGTCTGAATAATAAATTTTGGAGAAAATGTTCTTTTAAGCTCGGGATAATCAGTCCATTAAAACATAAATCCTATTGACCGGAGGCCAAGATTTCACTYCAAGAGCCTGACCATGGTGCGATTCATGGAATCACAGAATGGTTTGGGTTGGAAGGGACATCAAAACCCATCCAGTTCCAATCCCTGCCATGGGTAAGRGACACCTTCCACCAGACCAGGTTGTTTAAAGACCCATCCAACCTGGCCTTGAAAACTTCCAAGGACAGAGCAGCCACAGCTTCTYTGGAAAAYCCATGACAGTGRATGATTTAACACCCAAAAACTTAACCAAACACATTTTTTACTACTCTAATCCCTCCTCTGAAACCCAGTTAACAGTGCATGAGACATCTTTGTGTCCAGAGGAGTAGCTGAACACGTGGCAGGGAGGGTACTCACAGTTTGATAATGTGAGGGTGCCGGAAGAGTTTCAGGTTTTGAATTTCTCGTTTGATCTTCCCAACCACATCCAGGCTGCGGATTTTCTGCCTGTTCARTATTTTCACTGCTACTTTGTGCCCCGTCAGCTGGTGCTCACCAACTATTAGAGAGAGAAAACATTGCAAAGTCACTAAACAGAGCAGCAGGATTCACACAAGCAGTTTAGGACAYTATAAGCAAAAAGCCACTTCTGAARGGGAAAAAAAGMAAAAGATGAGGGGTGAAATATTTTAAAATTTTTATCTCTTCCCTGTTTTCCCTGTGGAGTCATAGAAGGCAGAAGAGAGGGGACCTATCTGCCAAAACCACTCCACTAAATAAAACAGAGTGAATTGCTGGAGGAGGTCATACCCCAAGCTAATTTGCAAGGATTTATAGCATGTAAAAGCTAGATTAATCAGAGACAGATATATTTAAATGGCAGAGGAGAATCTCCACCATAACACACTGGTTGACGAAATCCCTCATAAACCCAGTCTTAAAACTAGACCATCACACTTCTTTTTTAAAAAAATGCTACAGGGATTTTCCCTGCCCAAAATAGGACTGCAGGATTTGCATTACTAAAATGAATTTCTATTTATACTTCCTCCAGCGTGCTTCTCGCTTTGATGACGAGCTGCAGGAACGCTGCTGGACTGCAGGAGCAAATTCTGCTTTTAGGAAAGATGCAAACTTCAATATGTTTGGGGTTTTTTTTAAAGCACTTGGTGCATTGAGATGCTGATGTTTATCTCCTGCTGCTCAGGGACAAATCAGCACCACCACAAACTGGGAGCAGCCCCTCTGTTATTGGGGGAATTGCATTTAATGATGTGAAACGAGCTCAGCCTGGGACCCATTTGTTATCAATAAACAGACCACACAAAAAAAGCTCCCAGGAAGCAAGATTTATATTGAATCTGAGAGCAGAAACTGCTTGAAAACTGAATGTTTATATCCCAAAACAATTCTCAGACCACGAGCTRCCCCTTCCCACTCTTTTCCAGTGTGATGATATTCAACAGGGAAGCTTTCCTGAAGGCTGCACAGAAAAGCCTGCTTACAGTAAATATTTGTGCTCTCTAATTACGCACGTCACCCTTGCAGCAATAACACACGGCAAAAGGAGTTAATTATTGCGAGCAAACCTTGTTATTACACTATTAGAGGCTGTAATTTTGGCAGCCCTAATGAGCTGATCAGAAGCACACGGGGTGAGCAGGAGGCGTGAGAAGGGCAGGGCAGCAGCACCCAGGGCACGCCAGGTCACTATTATTAGCCACCAGATAAGACYTGCCAGAGATTCTTTCCCCAAGAAGAGCATCCTAAAAATAAAACACTTTACTGCCCTTGAAAATTAAAGCAGCACCACTTTGCATGGCCATTTTATTCCTCGTAATACTTAAAACTACTAGATGATGGAATGAAAATAAACTCAGCTTTGCAGCAGAGATGCAATTTAGGGATTAGCTGAGGGCTGGAGGAGGCAGATAATTCCTCTGGTRCGGTGCAAGGAGAGTGCTGTAAATAGTCCAGGGAGGCATTTTCCCTGGTGAATCCTTGGGGAGAGGAGAGCAGGGGAGTGCTGCAGGGAGCTAAAGCAAAGTTTTTTCACCAAACTAGGAGAAAAAGCCCTGATTTCTGCCACCCTTTGTTTTAGGACAACACTTTCCAGCCTTGCCTCAGCATATGCTTTGAAAAATTTTTATTATACACTTGGGGAAAAAAAAAAGGGCCATGCCTAGAATGAATAATTATTGTTTTTAATACTATTGCCAAATAGTTCATCCCCTTTCCCATCCGTGACAAACAATGTGTRACTCTGCAAAGGTTTGCTAGCACAAACACATTAATAATTAAAAATAAACAGCCTATTTTGTAATCCATCTTTTGCTTACAGTAAGCATTAGATACAGAGATATTATTGTTTCTGTCCCCAGTGACTTGTTAAGCCTCCTTGAACTCAGTGAGAGAGAGACAAAGAGAGAACACAATTTCCTCTGGGGTGGGAGACTTTTAAGTCTTTGAGGTCTCTCTGTAGCTGCAGGAATTTTTATATGGCCAGTAGGGACAAGAGTCACCATCTCTGACCCCCAGGATGATCCCAGGAGTGAGGGACAGGTCCCAAATCTCCCACAGGCACGGAGGAGGATCCTCACCCCAAGGTGGCCTTGGCTGGTAGGGAGAACACCTCCTCCTTCCCCTTCACTGCCTCCCTGAATTAAAACAGTGGAAAGGAGAGTCTTCTCTTTTAATTATTTTTATAAAAGGAAAAAAATGAGGAGGAATAGTGATTACAGCACCACGAGCATAAATAATAATTAAAACCCCTTGACAGCATGGTGTTTTACAACACTTTTTTTATCCTACCAGCTCAGGCAGCACAAGCCATTAACATTTTTGCAAATGCTTCAGGGGAATGTAGAAGCTTATGGAGGGGTGAGGAAACTCCTTTCCTATCAGCTGTGCTGGCCCTTATCTCAGCCCAAAGAGAAAAATGAAACCCATCCAAAGCATATATTTAGCAGTGCTGCATTAATCCTGCCCCAGTGCCACTCGCCCGTGCGTTGTGTCGTCCTTTCCTTCCTCTGCTCAGTCTCCTTTGGTTTATTTTCCCTCTGACACAAAGTTTGTCTTTCAGCAGCAATGCCACAGGGCCTGGGAAAATGGGATCTGATCCCGCCTGGAGCCTGTGGAGGGGCCATCAAAACCAACATAAACACAACCCAAGCACTGCCAGCCCTCGAGGGACACAGATTGGTCACTTTGGTGGCAGACAAGGGTAGGAAAGAAACCACCAAGGCCCCCATGCTGTGGGTGGCATCACATGGGGAAAAAATAATAAATATTTTTAAAAAAATATTTGGGTTACTCTGCTGGATTTTGACTGAAGCTGTCCAGGCTGCACCCGCTGTGAACCTCGTTGTGTGAGAGCTTTTGGGGACCCACAGGGTGGGATGTGCCTATGGCAAACACAATTTGTTTAATCTGCTCTTAGGAGATGCCACCTCCTTCCCCCAATGCTTTGCTAAACTGTAAATCCAAGATCTTCTCCACAGTTCTGTTTTCACAGATTATTCTCATCTTTGGCCTGGAGGACAGGCAAAATAACTGTATTTGGTAAAAATGCTGTGTGGTAACTTCAAGCCTGGACATGACACCTCCTGTCCATCCACCTCATCAGCTCCTGCCACCTTCCTCTCCCCCCACAGATGCTGCATCCTCATCCAAATTCCCAGATGGGATTTCAGCATTATCACCAAAATCCTGCTCTCATCTGCCAACCCATTTGCTCCCCTCTGTGCCTAGAGCGGACTTTCTGTAAATGAGATCAAGAAACGGAATGGGCTTAAAACAAAACAGTTTCTTGCAGTGTTCAGCTCCTTTTCAGGAGGATCAGTTCCCTGATGACCCAGGCAGTGCTAAGCCTGTCCCCAAAAGGGACTTTTTYTGCCAYGTCTCTGGCTTCTGATGGCTTMAAATGACCACTCAGCTTCAGCCATRAGCTCAAGCTCTGGTTTGTACCCCAAGCCAATAAATCCTCCCTTTCATTGCCATTTTCTTATTTYCTTAGCAAAAATAATCCCGAACAACTGTAAATTATGATTTCTTAACTCTGAGGAGCAAAGTAGAAAAAACTGCCAAAAGCAAAACCTTGTGCAAAGCAGAATTTGCAGAAGACACACCAGCAACAAGAAGTGTCACAGATGGCACCTGACTTCTCACTGAAAAAACAATTATTACACCCAACACACAATGTTTAAATCAATCAACAAAAACCTCTTTACTTTTCTCACAAGAATACAAGTTTTTCTGAAGCTCACTCAATTAAAATGCTATAATTCTGTATAAATGGAAGATTCCATTTCTTAATTTCAGTTCCCAGTCTCAAGTATAAATTTCACCTGCCAGTTGTGGGCAAAATATTAAGGAAAAAAAAAACCAAACAGATAAAGGGTACTACTAACCTATAAAGGATTTTGAGCTAGGAAATCTCTTTTATATTATTGCAAATGTTTCTTTGGAAAACATCCATTTTTACCAAAGTTGGGTCATACGTGGGGTGGGTGGTATTTGTGTTAGTTAAGGAAAAAAAGGCTATTGTTGGCAGGTTTAAATTGGTCTGCAAGGAAAAAACCTGTCTTTGGAGCACTTTTTGAGGTCTCCTCGTACACACGAGTGATTTAAATGGTCCTTACTGTTAGAAGTATTTATTCTGATAATTCTTTAGACAGTAAATTTGTGGTTTGGGATTAAACGCAGCAATATATTTTTAGGGGCGTGATTAATGGTCACAGGTGGACTTAGCTGCAGTGGTTGTGGTGGTTTCTTTCATCTGCTGTCAATTTGGGTTTATTTTAAAACTGCAGTCGCTGAGAGCAGGCACAGCACCCCTTTGCCCAGCCACATCCCAGTGGGGTGGGGGATCAATGAGTGGGGCAGCTGCTCCCCTGGCTTGAGCTAAACCCATTTCCTACTGGGAAACACGGCTTAGACAGTGAATTTTTTGGGTTTTCTGGGTTTTTTTTTTTGGTATCTTGTTTAAAAACTAAAATTTCCACAGAGTGGCAGAATTCACAAGAAAACACAAATATTTGCAAACCTCACAGCCAGGTAAAGCAAAGCTGATGCCTTCACAATGTGAGTTGGCTGCTCCAGCATGACTGGCCAAGGAATTCCAGAGTGGAGCCCCAACCTGACACAATTCCCCCATCCTGCAATCCTGGAATGGTTTGAGTCGAAAGAGACCTCATCTCATTCCACCCCCTGCCATGGGCAGGGAGAACTTCCACTATCACAGGGTGCTCCAAGCCCCGTCCAACCTCGCCCTGACCCCTTCCAGGGATGAGACAGCCACAGCTTCTCTGGACACCCTATGCCAGGGGTCCCACCATCCTCACAGTGAACAATTTCTTCCCAATATCGCATCTAGCCATACCCCTGTCAGCATGAAGCCGCTCCCCACCACCCCACACCCTRCCAAAAGTCCCTCTCCAGCTCTCTCGCAGCGCCTTTAGGCACCGGAAGGTGCTCTAAGGTCACTTTGGAGCCTTCCCTTGCCCAGGTGAGCAGCCGCAGCTCGCCCATCCCTGCCGGAGCCGCTCCGGGGCTGCGGGGCGCGCTCGGCTCCGCGGGGCGATGCTCGGAGGGGCGGCAGCACGAACCCCCTTCGCTCCCGGAGCTCCTGCCGCCCCTCGGGAAGGGAAGGAGCCGGGAGCGCATTCCCGGCACCGAGGGGCAGGACGCGGTGCGCGCTCCAGCCTCCCCATCGCCTCCCTCCGAGCGCCGCAGCAAAGTTTTGGTGGGTCCGGCCGGCAGCGCGGGCGCCGGGGCTGCGCCAGCCCGGAGCAGCGAGGGACAAGCGCCGCATCTCCCAGCGGCCGCCCGGCACCGCCGCATCCCCGCCCGTGTGCCCCGGGAACGGCTCGGCCGGCCGCTGTCCCCGGGGATGCTGCGGGAGCCGCCGGGGGAACGGCGGCAGAGGGAAGGGAGGGGATGCCGGCGCGGAGGGGAGGGGAGGCCGCGGGAGCGGCGGGAGGGAGGCGGCGGCGAGGGGCGCACCCGGCCCGGCCCGGCCCCGCCCGCGGCCGCGGTACTCAGCCCTTGACTTTGCCGAAGGTGCCGACCCCCAGCGTGTCCCCCAGCACGTAGTGGCCGATCTTCACCCGCCCATCGTGCTTCTGCTTCTCGGCCATGTTCGCCCCCCGCCGCCGGACCACAATGCACAGGGCCGGSCCGGCGGGGCGGGGAGCGGCGCGGAGCGGAGCGGAGCGGGCCCGGCCGCCCAGGGGCGGGGAGGAGAGCCCGCCGCCAGGTGGGGACGGGACCCAGCGGGATGGGGACACCGCCCCGGCCCGGGGAACCTGCCCGGGAACACCCCTGGGGGCGGCACCTGCCGGGGTGACGCCCTCCG